CACCCCAGTAGACCAGTGGTGTAGGGAAAGATATCTCTCAACAGGGTTCTTTCTTGCAGAAAGCTATACATTTATGCTGAGGTCCACATGAAGTCAGCAGGTCATAAGCCACCTGACTCTTAATTTACATTTTTGAAATATGCAAGAATTATCTTTGGGGGTGTTACTAGCTGCCATTAGCACATAACAAGTCCAGGGAAAGGCAGTTGGAATTTAGAAGCTGGGGATGCCAGAGAATTTGTAAATAACAAGGAAGTGAAAATGGACCAAATGTTGTGTAGTTTTTGTAGACTAGTATGAAATTCTTCAGGGCTGCAGGGGAAAAAGTAATCATGGGTTTCCAGATAATAATTCAGTGCAGAGATAGAATCAAGTAATGGTCAGGCAGATTGATGAGCATTGCAGACAAGCAGAAAGAAAGCACGATTGGCATCAAAAAGCATTGCTACAGGAAGAACAAAAATATCAGCATAAATCATCCATGTGGACTAGACGTTTTTGAAGAAACTCAGCTGGGAGAGATTTTACTGTATGAACCACCTCCTTGAAAGAAGACTGCAAATCCACAGAAGATCTGGTGAAGAACGGTAGACCTTAGTCTCCTAAGTTTTTTCCATTATTGTACATGGGGTTTGTGGGTAGAAATTGATGGTTGATTATCCTTCTTCTTAACAGCAGCACTCCTATTCAGGTGTTCAGTAAGCGAGCCACATTTCTTGCCCTGATGTGACATTCCCCTCCCTTCTATTTGTCTCTGGTTTTCTTTTCCAAATACATTCAATACTATGTAGCTCCTTATCACACTCAGCCCTTGGACTGGATTACAGGATGGTGGTATCGTGTTTATGTTTCAAATCTTTCAAAAACTATCCAGAATCAATAACAAACACAGACACACATGAACACATAGAGAATGGAAAATTGCAATAGCGTGTTCATAATGGGAGGATTCCCTCCCCTGCAGCAGAATTCCTGAATAACTAGAAATTGGCCCCCAATGCCTAAAATAGGGCATTCTGTGGGTGCTAGAACCACCAGATAAGGTCCTACTCATGGTACCTGCTGGGTTTCCTATGAATGAAGACTCCAGAGCAGAACTTTGACTAATAAACAAAGCACAAAGGGTGGAATGTAGGAAGAAGGTGGCCCTTAAATTAGCCAATCCTAAACTACAGTTTTTAAGGAAGGATTTGAAGGAGGAAGTGGCATTGCATACATGTTCAGGCATGAGTTCCACAAATGAGAGGAATAATACAGGTAGATCTCACTTAATGACTGCTCTGTTTGGCAACTATTCGATGGAACTGAAAAAGTAACTTTATGACTGGTCCTTGCACTTAACCAACCGTTGCAGCATCCCCATGGTCATGTGATAGAAATTTGGGTGTTTAGCAAACAGCAGGCATTTATTTATCACAGCATCTTGTGGTCATGTGTTTAGCATTTACATGCATCGCAACTGGCTTCCAACAAACAGAGTCAACAAAGAAGTTGGTGGTAAAATCGCAAGTTGCAGTCACGTGATGTCTCGCTTAATGCTCCAGGTGACTCACTTAATGACCAAATGGGAAGTGTTGTTGTAAGTCCATTGTGGTCACGTGATGTTTCACTTAGTGACTGTGTCACTAGTCCCAATTGTTGCTAAGTGAGGACTACTTGTATTGGGTTGGAACCAGATTTAACCAGTTTGATTTCTGACCCCAGTGAAATTCATGAAACTGAAATCAACCATTTCTGTGTATCCCCTGTAAATGTTGGGTCTGACTCCAACCCATCATCCTCAGTTTTGCAGGATGACTTCTGGAAGTCTGTGCTTGGTAGAATTTCTCCCTAATGAAAGTTGTGACGGTGGTGGTGGGGAGGTTTCAACCCTCATGACTTTTGCTTTCCTTTTCTCTTTGTCTTG